TTAACGGCAGCTCATAAATAATAACTAGATATCGCGTGGAAGTATATGGGTATAATATTATGTGTAGTCTATGTGTTCTCAAAAAACAGCTAGCGTTCTCCTAATTCAATCTTTTTACTTTAACGGTTTGCCTTTTTTAACGCAACGCCGTTATACACCCTCACACGTATGTGATATTATATTATATTATTATTATATATGCGTATATTTTAGTTTCCTTTTTTCCACTCCGTGTATATTATATCCTACACGATACATAAACCTGCAGCTATATATATATACCACAGATACCTTTATCATATAGGTACTAGACTATCCGCGGGATTTGACGCGCGACTACGGGGTGACCCTCCTCGCCATACATGCATTTCACAGCACCCTTCCCCTCCCGCGTGTTTATATAATATMGCACCACTGAATCAATTTTCTTCACCGAAGGAGGATATAAGTCTGTGGAACGACGAACTCAACGGTGGACGTGGTTGTGGGAACCGGGAGGGGGCGCTCCGCGCGTACTCATTTGTGGCGGGTGAGAGAAGCTATATATAGTATATACTTGCGGATTTGTTAGCAAATTGGAAATGGATTTTGCTCTGAATCCCACGTTACCCACCCTATTACACCCCTCCTTATACGTATATGATATTATCTCTTGCCGTCATCAAGTACGACCTATTCACATAATATATATAAGTATATATTATTATTAAATAAGTATCAAATCGTAATCTTCGGTAGATATATAGTTTGTAGATGATGTATTTACCTACAGGTCTCTCTCTCTCTCTCTCTCTCTGTATGTGTATATATATAAATATGTTTGGGTGTGTGTGTGTGTAGTGTGCGTGTTCTATAATAGCGCAGGTCACCGTGGGATGATACAAAAAAATAACATTTAAATTTGAATAACGCTGCTGTTATATTAGGTATATGATATTATTCCATTTTCTGAGAACGRCGTATTAAAATCGTGACGATTTGTTTGAATCCGTACTTACGACGAAGCGATCTCGGCGTGTATACACATGAAGGGATCGGCTTTTATTTATATTTAGTTGTTTCTATACTTAACCAGTGTACTGTAGTAGCAGTGGTTGCTGTTGTAGTGGGCACTTTGTGTCATCGCGTTAAATCCCGTAAAACTCTTTCCCGAAAAAGCCGGTGAAAACTTTGTGGTATAGCGCGAAGAAAACTTCTGTTCCATTAAGCTTATCTGTCATGCGCGACGGCGGCGTGGAYGGATTAATATTCGGCCTACAGCCGTGACGGCCCGCGCGTTTTCCTCCTCCGCGTAGCTATGTTATTATTTCGTCGCTCGTCACTACAGGCTATTCTTCCCGAGAGTTAAGAAAATATCTTCCGAGAACCAACTCATTTACTGCAGTGTGTAGACGACGTTTTTGCAGTGAAAAACGGATACCCACAGGAGGGAGGGGATATATGTGGAACGTTCAACGTAGTCAGTGGCGATGGCTAAACTTGATTCACCACTATACGTATATGATGAACGAGTGATAACAAGCACAGTTTCGTAGTCCATTCTATTTTACCAATTTGTCGGTCGGTGTACGGCTAGTCTTATTTTTAACAAGTTAATGTTATAACATATTATAACGTATAGGTACAAGTTCAAAGCGTCGAGGACGTGTGATGGAAGAATTAAGAACTTTGAATTATCGTGGCGTACGATGGGTGCTTATTACACCAGCGGTGTCAGTTTTAATACCAATGGTGGATATTCAATATTGTTATATATGTATTGTTTAGATTCAACGGAATAAATTGCCCAGAAATCCTACAGTTCTGGTTCACAACTTCTACCGTAGCATATAGTTTCAAATTTAATAATGCGTTATCTTCAGATAATCTACATGCAGTACAATGAGTGGTCTAGGGAGAACGCGACATAACGCTGCAATATTATATATGTATACGTCCGAACTAATCGCAGCGCGTAAATGAATTATTAATGACGCTCGCGTTTCCTTGTTAAGAATCCTATAAAAAAAAATAATAACAATTACAGTTGGGATAAGAAAAGTAATAAATAGTTATAGTCGGACGAAGGCGCTGCTGTGGTTACGCCAGAGCGGTTTTAAGACAATGGATGTGAATATAGCTACAACCTACATCAGTGGGCTAATTGCGTTTGTTTTTTATTGTAATTATTACAACGTCGTTCTAATCGTGTTTTTTTAATATATATTTCTATAAAAAATCATATCTGGGAAAATGTTTCTGATTGGCTCGTCACCGTGACTGTGAACATATTCTGATAGCTCTGTGTGAAAAAAATTATCGTTAAAGGGTTTCGCACGTTTTATGTAATAATTTTCGTCTGTTTTTGAGTAATTTTCAAACCGTTTATAATAATATAATATTATATGAACGCGATCGATGGCCAACGTTCAGGATTAACTGGTAGATAGTTTTTTTTTTCGTTATAAATAGAAAGTGTTACCTGTATACCAGCTTTATGTACCGCACATGTGTGAAATATCGATTTTTGTACCTATATGTTTTCTGCGACGGGATTTTTAATACGTTTACGAGATAGGGGAGAAAAATATCAATAGAGCATCACACAATAGTAGTGTGATAGTTATAGTGCGCAACCGGCGTTTGAGGGGAGGGGGAGGGTAATAAAACAAACTTTCGACTTCGGGTCGTGGAGAGAACCGCGAGTGTTTGGTGAGATGATAAACGACCCAGCTTTTGTGGTGAATTTTTCCGGTTGCTAAGACGTTTAGCTCATGCGGGGAAGGAGTGACCGTGTATGTATGCGTGTGTGTGTGTGTGTATGTATGTGTATTATATTGGTACGTGGATGAAGCGGAGGGAATTGTCCAAAAAGTTTTGTCACCTTTTGTCAAAACACCGCACTTACGGACAATAGAGGTCGATGATACATAAAATCTGAATWGAAAACGGAGAAAGATGCCTTGGTGACGACTATTTATCATGAATAAAAAGGAGAAAAAAAAGAAAAGAAACACTGCTGGGGTTACCTAACCTATACCCTATATCTACCTGCGTGGTACAAAACGTATTACATCGACATGGGTTTTTAGGGTCCACCATTTTCAGATACATCTCTTGAAATGTATGTATTATATTAATATACATATATAATATATACATATATATATATACATAAAAAATAGTTAAAAGTATGATAATAATAAAATAGTTTCAAATGTGAAAACCAGACGCATACCTACTTTCATATATAAAAGCGATGCGCTGCAGGTATACCTGTTGTTGTTTGTAGTACGCATATATAGATCGATATATAGAAAGTACACTCTGGGGAAGAATATTTTCCCTAATAACTTTTATGGTGAACGGGTAGTCGGGGAGGGATGGGTTTAGCGAACGTTGCCGCACGTGTTGACGAAAAGAAGACACTTATATATATATATTTATAAATGGAAGAGGAAATTATTGGTATATATATATATGTATATAATATTACACGCGTGCCAGAAATGAATGATGTCGCTCCCTTTTATTATGTTCTGATAAAAATAATAGTAAAAAGTTTGTTTATTTATTTTTATTATTATTATGTTTGGTGAACGACGATGATGGAAAACCGCAAAGCAATTTTTGCTTCCGTTTATACTATCATCACGGGCGAAAGGTATACTGCAGTGTGTGTTGTTATACTGTACATGCCTTGGTAAAGTTGAAGGCGAGGGGATATGGATGGATCACGATTGAATGGATTTTATTTCACCGCAACTGCTCGATGCTTTTAGCGCGCTGAACAAACATGGTCTGAAGATCGGTTATTCCGATTAATGCGTCATCGACTGTACACGCGACGGCACGTCTCTGACTCTCTGTGACAAAATCTCTTACGTACTCGTTATATACCGTGTATCGACTCTCAGGGTAGGTATGAAACAAACCGAGAGAAAAATRAAAATGAAAAAACTCGAAAWTTTTGATTACCTTTTCCGGGCATTATGGGTTTTACTTCCACGTGTGTTCGACTGCKCCGAATCAAGGCAAGATCTTACGATTATGTTTTTTTATACTATATAATGCTCGTGTTTGTTATATGTTTACGTATGAACAAAAAAGTTTCTTATTTGTCCGGAAACTACATTAGAAAATTGGATAGGAAAGAAACATAAGCGAAATATATTATTCTGTGTATATAAGAAAATAAGAAACGGATTCTTCTGTTTACACACACATCTTCATCTTCTAAGAGTATTCTATTCGATTTATATCGAAAATATTAATGTAAAAAAACATTATTTCCTCCATATCATTTCGTCCGGATGTAATCGAATATCAAATTGTTTGGTTTTTTTATGATTTCAAAACATCCGAAAATACKCTCGATACTAATGAATACTCGAGACGGATGTATACATATTAAATTATTATACAATTAACACGAAAATGAATCCAGACGGGTAAACAATGTTGTCTCAGATTACTTAAAAAATATCTTGTTTTAAACAGGGACAAACGTATATTTAAAACATTTTTTCTCGATTCWTGAACCATCATTGTAGTTCGAGGCAATTGTATATAGGAACCTAAAGTGCTGCTACGGTCGCTTGCTTCGACACCGTAATTCGATAACGATGTGCTTTTCGCCTAGCGATATCAAACACTTTCCCATTTCCTCACTCCTTTCCGTGTCTCCGGCAAATTTAGATTCTCGGGAGTTATCCTTGAATATATGTGTTACGGAAAACTACCCTCTCCGAATCAATCTGGTCGCGGTAATGTATCATTCAGCTAGTCTCCCGAAAGCCCTCAGAGAGTTACTCGCAAGTAGGAGGTCAAAATCATACCTGCACCACAGAATTAGCATTTCACCGTTTCAGAGTCTAATGAACTGGACCGACCGGTAGGACTTTCTCGCGCGCGCCTACGAATCCTTTGTTGATTATTACATTTTATAGTGCTGATATTTACATTTCAAAGGTACATTTTGACAGATTTGTTCTAATCAGTTTACTCGTTTGTTTTTACAGGCCTTTCTAGAAATGGCGGACGAGACATCGGCATCTGCCATGGTCACATACTTCACGACATGCACGGCTCAACTCAGGGGTCGCGCAGTGTTCATACAGTTCAGCAATCACAAGGAGTTAAAAACGGACCAAACTCATAGCAACGCCGTAAGTCTTTATAAYAAAAATATTTTTAATGAAAACTTTTGTCGTCCAAGGATAAAAGTTTTCGTTATTATTATTTTTTTTTTCAGTAATCGAGTTTCTTAATTTTTAAACGAAAATGACTTGTGTTATACGTAATACGTTGTAGGTAAACTGTGAAAGTTATTAGGGTGTATTTAGGGCTCAAGAGTGAGAAAGGTGAAAAAATACTAGTGTTTTTAAAAACATATAAAATCTGTTTAAAACGATGTTTCAAATAAAATTTTCTAAACTAAAACATATTTAATTTACGCAAATTTGTTTTRATATTAGACTTCGTCGCTATTTCGATATTTTTCTTTTCTTACTAGTAATCACAATAATAATAAAAACGCTAAATTGAATATTGCAAAACAAATCAATTTTGACAAAATGTACATATATAACATTAACGAGCTTTTTCCATAAAAAAAAATTACAATTACATTGTATTATTGATAAAACCGCACTCACGATGATGAATATTTTACCTTCGAAAACTTAAATTATGTTTGCGGTTTTATTCGACGAGTAAATATCAATATAATTTCTGTTCGGACCGTTCAATCGACAAATGATCGAACTGTATTGTATTAAAATATTATCATTATATTTAATAGAGTGGGTACTTGTGTGTGTGTGTTGCGTGTGTAAAAATATTCAAATAATCTTATCGGTTTACAGAATTTCGCGACGTATGTAYGTRCGTTTGTAATTTTTTTTAAATATATTACCTATAAATTTCAGTAATTATTGTACGGTCGAAACTTTTTTCCATTTAATATTYATATAATATGGTCAGAATATAATGACTAGTAAAAGCATATTAGCTAAAGTTCACAATTATTATTAATGATGGTAATATATACTAGCTTACCAGCATAACTCATTTCTTCAACGTTTTGGCGAAAAGTGAGACCTCAATACTCATCTCAGACTCTCCTCAGGGCATTCTCACCTATATGTACTTACGTATCACGGTATTCGCGGTAGTGGGTGGGTAAAATGTATTGCCATATGTATAATATTCTTTTGATATTTTTGTTTTTAATTTATTTGTTTAGCCTCGACATTAGGTTTTTTTCTCACATATTATGCCTTAATGTTTAGTTGACATTATTTATTTTGATGGGTAATTATTTCCGTTAATATACACAATATAAATACGTTATGAGCAATAAAGTTGTTGAGCGAGCAACGACACATTATATAATAGAACGTACCGTTTGAGGAAACTGCAGGCTATATACACCGAGCCATAATAATACTATACGATTATAAATATACGTACACCTATATGTATACAGAGTGCGTAACATGAGATCGTTATAGAGATTTCTTTTAAATAGAGACTGTATATCTAAAGAGGGTTGCCAGTTGCTCGCTAAAAACTTTTAACGAGCTTATTACAAATTGAAACCGTTTTTTAACTCCTCTCCCCCACATCTACGCTTTTATAAACGAGTATAATATATATATATATATATATACATTCGCATTCCAACATTTATCCTTCCTCATCCGGACAGGGTTTGTATGTGTTTGTAGCTCTATGTATATACTTCCCCATGCCGCCGTATTATTAATTCCCCGTTTGTCGTCACCGCGTACACATCGCAGCACATACATGTACGACTCGTTGTATAACGGTGACATTGCTCCGAGCTCTAAGGCTCTAATAAAAACGTCCGACGGTAAAACGAACAAATATAATATAATGGCCATATACCATACTATACCATATGTAATATATATATATATATCCACCGAAAATGTTTTCGTATATACGCTCTACTGTAGGGTCTGTTCACTCGTCGGATTTAGATTTTGCGGTGGCGTATCCGGTTTCGCCCAGAGTTCTTCCTGTTGCCGATATGGACCCGCCGCCCGCGGCCATCACCCTCGCCGCTGAAACTCGCCGGACGAAAATCGTCGGTGATTTATTAGCTCGTGTGGTTTCGTGATCGATAGCCTGTCGATAATGTAAAATATAATATACAAGCCCCGCGATAAATCTAGCTGCCAAAATAATAATATTATATGAAYCGTGATCCTAATCTTATACGCCTATAGTGGAATAATAATAATGCCAATGACGAGAGTCGAACTACGACTGTAGGTATTAATAAGTATAATATTCAATGTAGTTATATAAAAATTCAAATTTTTAAATATTTTCTTAAGCGAAACGTATTATTTACTTTTTGAATTATGTATGCAGGTTTTATATCTAGAACGTAAAAACAAAAATATAATTTATTTCAATGACTGCAGTTAACTTATCTATACTTATATGATTTATCAAAATCGTTTAAGGGAACGCTACCCATACATTTGTATCTTTTACACACGCATGACATACCAAATTTTCGTTCACTAGTTCCAATAGTGTACCTACTGTTRATTTTTAGATAAGATTATTATCTGTGCACAATCGTTTGCTCTTATTAACATATTGATTTTCAAGCGTGATATGGACATTTCTAATTTTTATATTTCACATAGGTACCMATAATATYTTGTTTAAAAATGTGAATATCAGAAAATCACCCACTAACAACTCACTATTGATGCTAGTAAACGAAAATTGGTTATGTTCGTTTTCAAGATGGAAACAACAAACGTATGAGTAGAATCCTCTTGGTAAGAATTTGTTGTAACAAAAAATGTCATCATTTACTTAGTACATAATTAATATAATAATATCAACACCCATCTACTCGCGTTTTTCGTGCGACCTTATTATATAAGCTTAACAAAAACAGGCGATATTAAATTTCATGTTTTTTAATTACGATCGTATATTATTAAATTATATATATATAGCGTTTCATCTCCCAATTCAGCTTTCTAGCTGGTGGTCGGTGCAGTGTGTATAATGTCAAAAGACGCGAAAACATCTCACCGGGACAGCATGTGCTTCGACAAATGACAATGGTTCCTGGTAAAGCGCGTATTTATTATATAGCCGGTAAAGTAGGTACCGGTTATACATATATTCTGCACTCGAGAGCGAAGGACGTCGAAACGGCGTTTTTTGAGTGCGAGATCAATTTGCGCTGTCACAGCCGCCGAGTCTGTCTGACTGTATATTATAATATGTACGTGCTTACCCGCGTGAAGCACTATGTGTGTGTGTGTGTGTGTGTGTGTGTGCTTATTGTATTTTCTTATCTGCGCGGAAGATTTTTAATGAAGAAGACGCTTCTGATGCTGTGCAATGCGCTACCTGCGTCTGGTGGTAACCCGAAACAAAACAAATAATCGCTGCTGCGGCGTGCGCACAGACACGCATGGGTATTTTATTATATTATTTTGTCGTCCGTGCTACCGCGGTTTATATATTATGTTGTGCGATTTACCACGATGTCGTCTGTTTCTCGTAAGGTTTATACAGATTTGGAGCGGCGGCGTTTATGTAGTCACGTCGTAGCCATGACATTATAATATTATTGTACTACATATATTATATTCTAGTCCTTAAGTGCGTATGATATTTATACTGTGTGTATGGYGGCGTTTCGTATAATAATCCCGGATTCGTCGATGCGTATACAAGCATGTATATATGCAGGATTCGTGACTATCTTGCAGTGCTCCTTTGCAAATTTTTGCATGATCGCATAATCGTATTGTCGTATAGTGTATAAGCTATTTTGTTTCCATACATTCAACCATTTTCAGCGTTAATGTATAATTTATACTTTCGACGTCTTAAAATTTCTTTTTGATCCTTCAGCCYAGCGCGTAACGATACTTTGTACGAACGTTACTCAACCGGAGCGAATATAATATTAAATATCATAAGAGTTCTTAATCGAGTTGTGGTAGTACTTTTTTCCCGCCCTTTGTGTTATGGTGTCTTATATCTTGTCAAGGACCTGAGTAAGTGATAATTGGTATAAAATATTGTGATCACACCTGATGTATGCAATTTAAATTAAATTAAAAAGGCCACTAAATATATTATACATCCATAAATGCTCAGTGCACTGAAACAATTTCGAGAAACTATYACTAACTACCCCTCCCCCCAACGTATTTACCCGTCAATTTAATACCAATAGGTGCGACTACAGGACTTCTCTTTCTTTTTCACGAGTTTGATGATCGTGTGACGTAAAACTTTTTAAACGATGATGTCCGCAAGACGACGCTTGTGTAGTGTTGTACCAAGCGCTGACGACGTATCGTAAACCGCACAAGGAGTAGGTACCTATAAATAATAACGACCGACGGAAATGATCCATATAACTCACCACGTCCGTCCGTTTGTGTTCAATCCGCGGTACAGGCTCGTATGATTTTCGCTGTACAAATTCCGATCTGGGATCCAATAACCGCGTGTTTACGGGCGGCCGTAAAATATTATACGCCGGCCGGGATACATTTTACGTCATAAAACCATGATAAATCCCTCTAGCGCCGGAGCCCTGCCGTAACGGTCGACGGCTGCAATAACGCGTTCGTGGTGGATAAACGTTTATTTAATACCGCACCCTTCTTAAGGTGGTAATAACGACATTGTTCCGTTCCCACCACGCGCCGGTCTGATATGTGTGCCCCGTCTTAAACCGATACGGTAGTTAACCCTGCACTAGTCCATTCCTTGCTRACGAATCTTCGGTGACCRAAGCCAACTCTGAGATAGATATTTATAATACATTATTATATCKGTAAGCAAACGTGCTTATATGTATCGTATAGATATATGGTACCTAATCTTTGCGGTCGATCGATTGATGAACAACGCCGCAAGGTTTGACGGCGAAAAAGAGAACGGATTTCGAGAACAAATTAAGAGGGAAAAAAGTATTCTCTTTGTTTTAACTTGATGGATTGAAATAAGAAACGTCTGTGACAAGTCCGTTCCGGAACCATTGATCTTTTTTGTTTTCTGCTTTTCAAAATTAATCTGGCGAGAAAAGGGTATAAAAAACAAGTAAGAGAGTGACAGAAAACATTAGATATATATGTAGGTATATAAATTATATATATGTACAATATATAGACTACGACGAGTCGGTGTGACAACGCGTGTGTTTCGGCGTAAATGGACGGAAACCGGAATCCGAACAGTCTTGTTGATGATGATGGTGGGGAGGATACCTGTCAGAGAAGTTTTTCGGCGATCGATAAGTGCGTGAGGGGGAAGGGGAAGACCCGTTGTAATATAATGGTCGTGTAAAGTTTTCGAACTTCCGTGGCGGCGATAACATCCCCGGATGAAAAATGGCGGCCGGAGGTGTATAGACGTAGACGACGATGATACAAAAGGGTTGTGCGAGCYAAAACGTATACATAAATACGTCGCAATCATTGTTTTCTTTTGGTTATATTGTGATTTTCGATACTTCGTTGAATATAAAATACTTTTAGATTGATTCCTATCGATTTTTGATTAATGTAAGTAATACTCTTTCGATATGGCCAACTTCATATGTACTCGTATGTATAAATATATATATAATTATTTTATAAACGTTCTCGAGTTTTTAGACTGCCCCGTGAGGTTAAGTGGTAGCAGCGGTAACAGGATACACTAAAAYGCAGCCGTCKTCCTCGTGTGTGTTTTTGTGCGATGATACGATAGTGCTCTCAAAGAGGGATTCGACGAGAATGTCGTTTGGATTAATTGTGACGTACCCGGGTGGACAAGTTGAGTAATTACATATGGCGGTGGACGTTCGGTTGCGCGAGTGAGCGAAACTCGGTTTTACAAATCCCCCGTGTCCAGCTGGAGACGCGCACGGTAGAGCTGCTGACTAATGGTCGGTCACCCCTCACCACCAGTTGTCCGCTCCTCCAATGCGGCTTTCCATTTCACGAGTTTTCCCAAATAAAACTAAATGTTTACTAGTACCATTTGTTAACGTCCCACGTGATGTTTTAGTTTTAAGTTTTTTTTTCCATTCCCGTTTCGAACAGACTGAACCATCATCTTCTACCACCCGCCGTGCAGTGGCTTGAACGTATTATTGTCACCAACCCTTCCGGCCGCTGTCCGAAAATGAGTCGCATATCGCATGAAAAACAACACCCTCCTACCCCAGCCTCTTTCACTACCACACACCATAGATTTACATGCAACGCATATGCGAACAATTAACACATACCGTATGTATGGTTAATGTAAAAGCCRAGACTTACTCGCTGTGTGTTACAACACAATCCGTTTTGACGCCGATAAAATATTATACCTACATTGCCTGTCCGATTTGTCGTTAGTATCACGTCAGCTCCTCTTCTCGCCATCCCTATTAACTGCAGCCACCCTTTTGTATATTCTGTATATTATTAATGGAAGGCCTAGATATATAATATATTAGTTACTCTCTACACCTCCCCCATTTCTTGAATCCTACCATTCTCCCTTCCACCCGTTTGAATATGAGCAATGTTAGTTGTCTTTCTACCGTTCATTTATCATATTGGTTTTAATTTATTTTCCAGAATGCATCGGCTCAAGCGGCACTACAAGCGGCCCAAGCTCTGGCTGGCCAGAGTGACGTACAAGGAGGTCCAAACACRGTGCTCCGAGTCATCGTTGAACACATGGTGTTTCCAATCAGTCTTGACGTCCTCTACGAGGTGAGTTTTCAGGGATTATACTTTTATACCAGTTGAATATAGATCGTTAATTTCTGAAGGTGACATATTTATCAGTCTAGCCAGGTTTACACTCAATGCAGTTATATATATATATATATTATTCATAAATGCGATATAATGAAACATTTTACAGAAATTATCAACTGTAAATTAGAATCACGGAAAATATTAACTTTTAATTACTATTTGTATATTCGTGTTCGTCATTTCCGCGGATATCAAATCAGAAAATACAAAATCACCGAACTACAGGTTGTAGATTTAACTCCAAGCGTTTGATTACATTCTTTTTTGACTTCGATTCCGATTGTTCATTTAACTTGCTGTATTTAATTCACGTATTTTGTCGAAGGTGTATTCTCGTCGTCGGAAGTAGCAACGTGTGTGCCTCTAAAATAATATAATGGTTTGTAGAACGTGTAAAAATATTCTTCAAACGAGCTGATTCGTTATCCTATACAAACATACAACGTATATGTAATATTATATGCATTTTCTACAGGAACGGTATAGGTACCTAAGTTCTGGCCCCATTGTGTTATCTATACCGAGTTGTATTTCCAATACAATCGTTTGTACATTGAAAACCAATTCCCTAAGGTTGTTTTATAGTATGCTCTTCGTACCAAATTCTCATTACTCTATATATTCGTGCCGTTACCGTGCGGGTATTGCTAGTTTGATACTGCTTTTCTCTACATTTTAAATTAAATAACAATTGCAGTATCGTGGTCTCCATGTTAATGCTGTTTATTATGATAAAACATGCGATTTAATTTATAATAAAGGAATTATGMTTATAATATAGGTAAGTGTGTTTCCAAACGGTCAGTTCTGGGCGAGTAGAATTATTTTGTTTTACTATTGTACGTAATATATTATGAGTTATGACGGTTATACGACAATGTCCTTCGTCGACTCCGTGAAACGTATGACAAAGTGCGTATTAAAAAGTTCACCGATTAAATTATAAGATATATATTTGTACATATGTATAGAGCGTAGGTTTTACATAATTTACGACATGGTGCAWCTACAAAACAACTTTAATTTTACAGCGTTTATTTTTTTTTTATATATATAGTTTTTAAATAATCTAAAATATGAAACAAACAAACGATAACACTCGTGATATYCAAGTATATGAAATATTTGTAGTACTTTCGTTATAGTTCAAAAAATCCATTTACAACTTTTGGAACATATCCGCCGGTAATATTTATTTATTTACGTAGATATTGTTTTACTTGTCGGGAACTGCATAAAAGAACGTTTAATATTATGGAAGAGCTCTAATGCCCCTGAACTAATAAAAGTGATTTGCAATTTAGACGTAATATGACGCTATAATTAGTAGACCTAATACCTACTGTTGATGTATAAAACCTCTATAAGACTCACTACATTTCCGTATTGCTTGTAAAATTAATAACAATAACAATTTATTATATTATAAGTAATGATTACGTCGTTTCTAATTACCGCAACTCTCGTTTKGAGTTGGTCTTGTTGAGGTGATTGGTGAAATCTTGAGCCTTAGATTTTTCTACTTCAGTGGCAAAACAAGATAGTTGATCAGAAGAAGCAATCGCTCATGTGCCCCCGGAGATATAAAATTGTTGTTATAGTTCTATACCTATTATTGTTTTAAAAACACACTGCATCTACACATATTGTGTATCTAATATAATATAGGTAATGACGTATTATTAACCATATATTTCGCCGGCAAAGCAGACGCGGTAGAACATTAAAAACCGTGAAGGCCATCTTAACAGTTGATAATAAAAAATGTGTTTACTAAAATATGTCTTTTAACTAGGTAGGTAATTGCGATTGTCAACCAATGTATGTACATGATAGGCGAAGAGATATGAAATTCTCTGAAATTTTCTTGTCTAAAGTCTAATACTCGAAATTAAGCCACTGATCTTTCGTGACGCCACTCACTCCAAGTCTGGACTRGCCGAGCGTATCGTAAAACGGAACACGCACACGTTCGCATTCTGGCCATCGACTGCGATCCATCCATCCTCCGCCGTCGTCGTTTACCCCCGCGGCGTAAATTTAATTACGTTTTCACATTAAACCTCCGCCGCTGCCACTACCGGATGGTTTGGATAGCTTGCATATACATATAAACGTGCGTGCAGGCATCCAAGTCGGAAGTTWCTGTGGTTTTATACATATATATTTATTTATTACGCTCTCAACCCTCGGGCGTCACGTTTTCATGTACATCTGTGAAACGTGGTGTATTTTTATCCGTACACGAACACGCGACCGACCACCACTGAGTAAGTATAATCCACACCCCCGAAGTCCTGGCTCCGCGACAACCACCCCGGGGCCGCGATGGTCTTATTGCAACCACACGCAACGCTTTATACACACCTAAAGGTTTTTTCATCTACTAGCAAACGTATTGTTTTAATTCCCGCTTGCTACTTATTTAAAGTTTCAAATAATTACACTATACCTGCAATGATTAAATTAAATGTATGTTTTTAATGTTATAATAGTAATATGATTTCATTACTCTTTAAGAGGAAAAARCCTATAAATTGAGGTTTTTTTATCCATCATATTTAAATTTTAAATATTAAATTATTAATTATTACCTTTATAAATATAATGTTATTTACAAATATGCCATTCTTATTATCATCTAGTACCAAAATAAATACGTATAGTAAAATTTTTTTTAAAGAAAAAAACGCATTTAAAGTTGAACTGTAAAAAAATGCTATCTAACAATTTACTTATAATTTTATATTTGTCATAAACCAAAACAAAAAGGATTAAAACAATATCTAATGATAAATAAATTACTGTCTATCCAATAATGTCACTATAGTAACATATTAACACATAAACATGAAAAATCAGAATTATATGTGGAAAAAATTGTCTTTTAAAATATGTCGCAATGCTGTACTCGTTTGACATAACAATTAGTTGGACCTTTGGTTAATATGACAGAATTATTCACCAACAATTATTGGTCTCCGACGAAAATTAGATTAGCATATTTTTTTAAGAAATTTCATAATTTTATAATGATGATTTAAAAAAAAATGGTTATAGGTAGAATATATAGATTACAAGTTAGTTACAGTTATTGGTGTTTTCGGTATTACAACGATTTACATWGTAATTTATGCGCGTGCGCAGGTATTTGAAGAGGCAGCACTTTTTATAAAACAATATTCGCTTTACTCGCCACTCCATTCCGTCCTCATTCGATTGTTGTGCGTAAAGTCAAGTCAAAAGTTTGTGTGTACGACTACGATGGTTATTTTTTTTTTTATTATTCTTTTTTCGTATTCTATATCCAATTAAAAATAATTAAAGCAAACATTTACACAACGTTGTTGCGACGAGAAAATTATTATTTTTTTTTATATAATTTATTTCCCGTTTAATAGCAATTGTATGTTCGTATATAGTCGGTCAGTGTGCTGTACTACACGACCTATTTTTTTCTCACTTGGCATACGATCGGACTTTAGGATACTCATACACACAGTTTATCCTTTCCCTAAATAAAATCAGATAAATATTTTATTACAACTCGTAGTGACGAATAAATACAAAATATACGAATTAACGACGGCGCGACATTATAATATTTTTTGTGCAATAATAATATTCCATGAGTAGGTATTTACATTATTTTTAATGTCGGTCGGTCTGTTATGACATTAATTTTGTTATTCGTCTTAACGATATATAACCTCGTTAACAGACGTGCAATGTAGTTTTAAAAATATACACATTTTTTGCTCTCCCGGGTGTAGCGTAGTAGTTTTGTTTTTAGATCCCAAGCGAGGATGRAAAATTTTTTCTTATACGATAACCCTTTTTTCTCGGTTTTTATTTTTATTCCCACGAGAATACCGTCTCGGTACTGGGCGGTGAACGAGCTCTAAAAGTTTCCATCCGCATCGTTTTTCGACAACAGATAAAAGTCATCGAACAGTTCCATTTTTTTTTTTCAATTTTCTTAATAGTTTTGCTTTCGTGAAAAAAAACTACCTTGTGCGATCCTCAAAAAATATCGAATACGACTCGCGGCGAGTCCGTCCAGCTTTTGTGTATTTTATTTCTGTTTTTTTTTCCATCCGTATCGATTGGTGCGGGACATCGAACGTCGACATTCGGTGTTTATATTACCAATTAAAATACTACATATTTATTCTATACTGAACGATTATAATTAAAATTTGAATTAATTCTTTTGATCTCATTTCAACGTACACACACACRCGCGCGTATGTGCGGGTGTGTGGGTGCTTATAGTACAGGAGAGACGTATTTCTCTCGACAAACATTAAATATATAATTATAGATAGTTTATTATGTCGTTTTGTCCCTGTTTACTTGAAACTTCCCGCCGTAGGTAACCGGGGGTAACTGCAGCAGCAAAACGCGCACAAATACTAAGTGAATTATGTACATTGTGTAGGTAGGTACAAGTATATTATATTGCATATTACATTATAATATGACCGTATAATGTACCCAAAGTATGTTTTCAGTATATATGTATATATAGCATGCAAATATAGGGGCAGTACTACAATCGTTTCGATCATCGGACCCAGGTCGTTGTATTTCGATCCGTTCGGTATTCGAGTATACGTATACTACACTGCACAGCTAAACCCTTTTAGTGTATACATGTATGTTTTATTTAAATGTTTGTTTATTGTCCGGTTGGCGATCCCGGTGCAGGAAAATTAGTGCAAAAAGTTTTCGTGAACATAACGAGACGTTTATCCCGCAAGCCACKCACATGTACATAGTATTATACTATTATATCACACTAATTCGCGGTTATAATGAAGACTTTGGCGACGATAAATCCAAACTAGTTTGTATCCATCATGCTGTTGATTTTGATATAAGGCTGTAATTATATCGAATCGCGTACTCGCACTCCAATGCCATTTCGCGTACCCAATCGAAATTTGTAT